TGGAGTATCCCTTTCCCAACCAGCCGCTCCTTGGTGAGTACAAGATAAAGCATGGCACCTCTCCTTGTTGGCTCCTCTATTACTTGCAAGAGGACGTTGCAGACGCAGAGGATCACCGTGCCGGACAGGCAAGGGCTCTGGTGCCATGCAGACCCCCAGGATCACCGTGAGGGCTGGGCAGGGCTCCGGGAGGTTTCAAGGCATCCTGTTGTAAGGGATTCTGGGTGCCCTATGGATCTCACAAGAGCCAAGCCCTATCCTAGGCTTACTGGGGTCTCCAATTCCCTTCTCCTTCCCCAGGTCTCTGCAGAGAGAGACACTGGGGACAAGGCCCCTCTCATGTGCCAGCAGACACCATGGGCGACTGTTTCATTTTGGGATCTGTTTTTCAGGACCGGAAGTGGTGGTGACATCCTTATCGTGTCCCCCTCCAGCGGCATGAGGAGGTGGTCGTCCCTGGAGGACCCCACCTGAGCCCTGGGGAGCCCTGGGCCATTTCCCTCTCATGATCAATAAACCCGTTCAGCAAAGCTGCGCTCTGTGTGCCTGTGTCTGTGCCCCCTCTCCTCTGCCAGCGGCCGCATGCCTGGATCCTCTCTGGCTGCATCACCACAGTGAGCAGAGTGGCTGAGGGAGTGTGGGCTCCTGTGGTGTCTGTGTAAAGGAGATTCCCTTCCCACACACCGTGTGCCCCAGGTAAGGGCAGATGAGGGCAAACTGGAGCGTCCCTCTGTCCTGGTTTAAATCCAGCTGGTAACTCAGCACCAGGCAGCCGCTCGCCCATCCCCTGGTGGGACGGTGACGGGAATCGGAAGAATAGAAAACCTGTACGTGGAGATAAGAACAGTTTAATAATTGAAAGCAAGTAAAATACAGTGATAATATAAATAATACCAACAATAACAGAAATTGTAATAATTTAGGGGAGAATTCTCTGGGTGAAACCTGATGCATTTCTCACAGAGCACCCTGAAACTGCCTCTTCTCTGGTTTCAGGAAGACTTTTGGCAGGTCCCTTCCCTGAGCTCTGGTACTTTATGCTGAAATTGGGCTAGGATAAAGCCAATAGCCTTCCTTTGGGCACTTCAGAGTGCACACAGCTTGCAGGGTTAACTCCTGTAAGTGACAATTGCTGTTTTGGTTTGAGGTGCTTTGCAGTCTTTCAAAAAATACCCCCACACAACACTTTCTCCAGCAAAAGAGATAACTTTTTTTTTAATTCTAAAGGAGAAATCCAGATGTTCCAAATGGAAGGTACATGTCTTCTAGATATGATGCTGTGTGTAGCTTGTGGCACAGGTTCACAGACTGGACTTTTGAGCGTGAAGAAAACAGAAGCTACATCTTACTGATGCCCCCAAACTGACAAAACATGCTTTGCTGGAATTCCTCTGCTCAGCCAACGGCTCATAGAGAGCATGTATCTTCTCCAGTGGGAGGTCTTGTACCATGCTGTTAAAGGATGCTGCTATACACTTATTTAGGCTACCCAGAGGGATTAATTTATCAGTTTTTTCTTCTTCTTGTTGCTGTAGACCCTGTCTTTTGGTTATTTCTGAGCACTGTAGTAGAACCAGAGAGCTGGAGGATCTCCAGTTAGGTTTGTGTTTTCACCACCAGTCCCTAGGGTGAATAATTCAGCAGGGCTGTTGCTAAAGAGCAGCAGCTTCCATAACAAAAAGTAGAGGAAAACCAAAACCTCGTTCCAAAACATACTGCATGCAGCAGGCCTTGTCCTCAGCAGACTTCTCTTTAAAATCCAGAGAGGAGGTATGTCTTGCAGTTACCCTGGAAGTGGGTAATTTGGGAATTTCTGACATAAATAAAACTACAGTGAGCAGTTCTAGAAATGGCTTGATTTTTTTTACATGCTGGCAAGTCATTCGTATTCCTGCAAAGGTCAATATGCCTTCCCACAGAGCAACAGTGAGCCGTGTTTTAATATAAAGTAGCCTCTTCTTTTTCTAAAAGATGAATGAAGGAGACATTTGAACACTGACACTTTATACAGTCTCTTGTATTCAGTTTTGGAATACCTGCTCTCTCTTTTGGCCTCCGACATTCCCTCTGCATGGCTCCTCTACTACTTCCAATATGAGTCTAATAAAAAACACTCCCAAAGAGCTGGTCTCTTGCCTTCAGCTGCAGTGCGAGGGGGTGTGCATGGCTGAGGATGACTGTCTGTCTTCATTCCATGTCTGTGCCGCAGCCAAAACCCAGCAAGGTGAGGACGAAGGGAGAGGAGCAGCGTGAGCAAGGCAGAGAGCTCTGAGAGCATCATGTCACTTGAGTGGAGCTAAACACTGCCCTGTGAATGCAGCACAGCCCTTCTCTACATGCTCTCTCCCAGGCAGGGCTGTGTGTCCCGCAGGAACAGGGGTTTCGCCAAGGACACAGCCCATCTCAACACTCCCCTTTGCAGTGCACACAGGTGGCTTCTCTGAAGGGTGTAGCCAGAAGCGCAGATGCTCTGCATGACCTTTGCCATGGGTTAAATGCCACAGACAAGTCCCCCGGAACACCAACAGTTAAGGAGAGAGAATCGCAAATTACAGTCTGAAAGACTCCTAGAATCTTGGAAGTCGGGGACCTCTTTGAATAGGAACCTTGTGATGTTATGGGATGTGCTCTGGTGACGAAGCTTGTGCTCGCTGCTGGGGGGACCCACAGAGAAAAGGCTGAGTGGGAGGAGGGCTCAGGACTCGCCCTGCTCCCCTGGGACAAGCCCTGTCTCAACGGGTCTCCCAGAGCTGCCCTGGGACAGGACCTTCCCTCAACCCTCAGGTGTCACGCAGCAGGCAGGAGCACACAGACAGGGGCTGTCCCTGGCTTGGACAGGAAGAACTGGTGAGATGAAGCTCCACTCTTGGGCCCAGGACCTTGCTGCTCTCCCCGCAGACCCCAGCGCAGGGGGTCAGCCATGGGTGGGGGAGTGTCGTGGTTTAAACCCAGTCAGACAGCTTGTTCACTCACTTGCCCCCCCTTCTTGCTCTCCCCCTACTCCCGGAGGGACAGAGAGGAGAATCGAAAAGAATGCAACTCCCACGGCTTGAGATAAGAACAGTTTAGTAACTAAGGTATAACACAGATCACTGCTGCTACCACCAATAACAACGATAAAGGAAATAACAAGGGAAGAGAATACATCACCTCACCACCAGCCGACCGATAACTCACCCCGCAGGCCCGACCAAGCACTGACCCATACCTCCTCCCACCCTGCAGTCCCAGCCCTTCCGGCTAACTCCCAGTTACATCCTGGGCATGACGTGCTGTGGTATGGAATACCTCTTTGGTCAGTTTGGGTCAGGTGTCCTGTCTCTGCATCCTCCTGGCTTCCCCTCCTCCCTGGCAGAGCATGAGGCTCACAAAGTCCTTGGCCAAACCAAAACATCGCTATCAGCTCTGTTCCCAGGCCGAAAGTCAAAACACAGCACTGCACCAGCTACCAAGAAGGAGAAAAATGACTGCTACTGCTGAACCCAGGACAGGGAGTAAGGGGGAAAAGCCTGGCAGATGTGCCCCATGGAGGGGAGCCACTGAACATGGGCAACTGAACCTTGCCTGCTTCTTCCATGCTGAGCTGTAACCGATCTCCTCATACATGGCCTCAGGGAAGGGCTCCCAAGCTCTCCCAGAGCTTCTGGACAGTGGCAGAACTGTCCCAGAACAGGCAGAGTGGGGACAGGAACCCACTCTGCTCCACCAGCTTTGGTCCTTTGGGCATTGCCTTAGCAGAGGGAAGTGACAAAGTCCCACAGTGTGCAGCCGAGAACTGGGGAACCCTCTGGCCCAGTCAGCTGCTGCCATTGTGGACACAAAAGCTGTGCTGCCCAGGAGGGTCCCGTCATGCAGGGGCTGGCAGATGGACACATAGTGGTTGTAGGGCGTGATGGTGAGAAGATAAAACTCGTGTGTGTTTGAGGAGAGAAAGAAAAAGACCTGGGCAGCACATCCCAGGAAGAAGGTGGCCCTGGTGTTCCAGAGGGACCTGGCAATGGCTTTAGTGACAGCGGTGGACATGGAGCACAGGTCCAGCAGGGGGAGGTCGAGGAGGAAGAAGTCCATGGGGTGTGAAGGCACTGGTTGCAGGCTGTGGTGGTGATGAGGAGTTCGTTGCCCAGGAGTACAGTCAGGTAGATGCCGAGGAAGAGTCAGACATCCAAGAGCTGCAGCTCCCATGTGCCTGCAAATGGCAGGAGGAGGAAGTGGGTGACGGAGCTGCCACTGGACATTTGCTTGAGCCTGTTATGGGGGGCTTTCCAAAAGGGAAAGGACAGTGACAATTTAGGGGAGAATTCTCTGGGGGAAACCTGATGCATTTCTCACTGAGCACCCTGAAACTGCCTCTTCTCTGGTTTCAGGAAGACTTTTGGCAGGTCCCTTCCATGAGCTCTGGTTGGTGCAGGCTGAGGGTGTCCCTGGAAGGAGCGGGCTCTGCCGGGGCTCTGGCAGAGCCAGTCCTGCCCTCCAGCAGTAAGGAAAGAGGAACACGGCAGGAGCGCATATGGGGCTGTTGTGTCAAATGAAATTCACACGAGATATCAAAGAGCTTTTCAGAAGATCTCACCTGTCCATCAGCTTTGGTCTCAGCTGCCCTGCGCTGGCTCTTTCAGCAGGGAGATGACTTCACCCAGGCTGCTCCAACTCGCAGCCCCTGGGGTGCAGGGACCCTACTTGGAATGACAACCCGCGGTACCCCTGGCTGCACAGCTGGCTGCACACCCCTGAAACCACCCCCGGGAGAAGGCAGGCATCACACACACCCCTTTGATGGTGCACTGGGGAATCCAATGCTTCTCCAGCCCCGCTACTGGGAAATTAAAAGAGGAAGCTCACAAGCCCCTGGCAGCCCCAAGGAGCTGTCCCAAGGATTGTGGGTGACCCACATCCGCTGCCTGCAGGCTGCCCTGTAGCCCTGTCAGCGGCTGCTGCTACCCATCCCCAAATGGACCTTCCTGCACACCTTACTTTAGAGACAGATCCTCTACACCACTCTGATCTGACAAACCATTTATTCCTCCTCCCCCATTTCTCTTTTTTACTTGTGTTCTTTTTCTTGTCTGGTTTCAGCTGAGGTTTTCTTGTTCTTCCATCTTTCCATGAACCTGCACTCGATAAATGCAGGTGTAGGCCGTGTTTCCCCAGTTGCTCTTCACAATAAGTTTGATGTGCGCAAAGGCTCTGTGTGTGTTCTGTGAAGAGAGTGACAAGAAAACTGAGGTGTTAAGTGTGACGGTGCAATTGACGTTTCTCCCCCTGCCTGCCCTGCTCCTGCTCAGGAACAAGCTTCCAAAAGTGGGTAGGAGTGGCTGTAGGCATCTGAGGCTCACTGCTGGTACCAGGGCTCCTGCAGAGACTGGAGGCACGGGAAGGGAGAAGACACCCTCTGGAACCTGGCCTGCTGGGGACTGCGCCTCCCTTCCCTTTGCCCCCTTCCCTCTGCAGCTTGCTGTGTGCTGACAGAGAGGCTGGGGAGGTCCTCCTATGCGTGAGACAGTTGGTGTGAAAGTCCATTAAGCTCCCGCCATGCTCTCTGCCTGCCTTCCTCCTGGCAGGTGTGAGGGCACCAGGAGAAAAGGGACGTGTTGTGCTGGGAGGAAAGGACACTGTCCAGCCTGTCAGCAGGCCAAAGGGTGGAGCGACAATGCTGTCCGGCAGCTTTCCCCACCAGGTATCCCTATTTCTCCTGGCACAAAGATGTTGCTTTGGTGGAGAGGCCATGTGTGCAGCTGGCTCTGCTGAAGGCAGCAGCTGCAGCCAGGGGTCTCTCAGGACTTAAGCTCCCACAGGAACAACCCTGCCCTTGCAAACCTGTTGCTGCTACCCCCACGGCATGCTACTCAGTCCTCCCAGCTCCACCAGGCCTCCTCGGCAGTGGTCTGGGCCCCTGCGCCAGGGGAGAGAGCATTCACGCTCTTCCTGCCACGGACTTGCAGGCACTGCTGGTTTTCTCTGGGCATCTTGCCTTCATGCACAGACTGTACCTTCAGAGGGAAGGTTTGAATAGCCTCTTTTGCCACGTTGTACACGAACATCCCAAGGAGAGTTTCCTCTTCTCTGTCTGCATTCAATCCCTCAAGGGAAAAGCACAAGGAGGAAGGAGAGAAGCTCAGACTTGTCCCGGCAAAGAGGATGTTTGTATGTGCTGGATCAGCATATACTGCATGGGCTGTTACCTACTGAGCCTCTCCTGGGGCTCTAGCAGTAGTTAAGCACTGTCTCCACCTTGTGTTTTATTCAAGAGCCCTGAGGTGCTCTCACCAGAATGAGTCTTGAGAGGGATGGAACCCCTAGAGCCCCTGAAGTATCCTGCAAGTGCACTGCAGGGCTTAGGAGAAAGCAGGACACAAATCTCCAAGGACTTGCTTGCACAAAGCTTGCACAAAGCAAGCAAGTTCCAGTCACGGCTTTGCCCCAGGGCCACGTGCCAGCCAGAAGCACCCAGCAGAGACTTACAAAGACAGCGATGTCTCGGGGGGCACTGGTGACGGTCCCAGATGGAGAGACCTCTTTGTAGGTGTGCTGCACACTGACAGCAGTCAGATGGACTCGTGCTGGCAACCTGATGACCACCTGGCCCTGGTGCCCTTGTAATGGCCAGCAGTTTCCTGGGGAAATATCCGGCTGCAATCAGAATGTGAGAGTTAATGAAACGTGAGCCCATGTTCAGTTCAACACAGCTGCTCATGTAGCCTGAAGCACAGGTGCTGGTGTGTCTGGGGGGTCTAGTCCATCTTGAAAATGAGGCTTGAAAATGAGACACAAGCAGCAGCCTCTCAGTATTATGAAAAGAGGAGAATACCTGTTACTAAGCCAACCTAGTCAGGCCCTTACAGACACAGCTCTCTGCCCAGTGGCTCTGCAGAGGACCCCCTGCCTCCCACCCCAGAAAGGAACTGCTAGGGCTGAGTATGGAAATGAGGTCACCAGGGAGAAAGTCGTTCACCCGGCTGTGACTGAGGACTGTGGGCAAGATGCTGCAGTTGAGCTCTGTTCCCCTCCTGAGGGGAGCCACTGCTTTCTATCGAGGCCAGCCCTGAGTCCAAGCTTTGGCTTCAGGCAACAGATCAGCACTGTGGGCTTGAGCATTACCACTGGACTGAGAGGACAATGCCCAAGGTCAGTCCCCAGCTTCTCAGGAAGGAAACATGCACTGGTGGTTTCTGCTACAATACCTCCAAAATCGTATCAGGAGGGTTGGGAGTGTGGAAGAACCATAAAACCCTGCAGCCCCAATTCTCTTTGCAGTCATAGGTCTTTGAAGTTCTCTGCATGTCAATGGTGGCACCTGTAAGGAAGGGAGAGCAGGTGACTGCACGAGGCCACCGAGTAGGAGGACCCTGTGCTCAGACGCCCTTTCTGATGCTGCTGGACAGCTCCACGTCTGTCAGTCCTCTCCTCATCTCCATGCTGGTAGGGGTGCCTAGCTGCGCAGGATGACAGCACCCATATGCCTGGTGTCTGCTCCTCTCAGCGCCACAAGTAGAAGGCCTGAGGGTGCTGGTGAATGAGGGCAGACCAAAGCTGAGGGCTTGCTGTGTGGGCAATAAAGGATGACCCATCCGTTCTCTTTCCAAATGCATTGATGAGGAAGAGAGCCCCTCCGTCAGCCCTGGAATGTGGGGGGGGCAGTGCCAGAGGCACCAGCGCAGAAGCGGGACCAGGAGGGAATCCAAGAGAGCCACTGCCACAGACATGCTCTCGGACCTCATGAAGCTCCCCTGCTTTCAGCTCCCCTGCTTAGGAGAGCAGCACCTGGAGGACATCCTCCTTTGGGGAGTGCTACAGACAAGTGCATGGCAAGGAGAATGGGCTGCTGTGTCCATACCAGAACTTTTCAGGGCCCAGTCAGATCTTCTGATGTAGACTTCCGAAGCCAACTCCAGGGCTGCCTGGTTCACCTCCTGCCTCTCCTGGGAAACACACAAACAAGCACAGAAAATGAGCACGTCAGCAGTCAGTTCAGCATGGCTACCAGCACCCAGAAAGGCAGAGGGTCAGTGTCAGAAACACAAGGCAAGCCTTGTCCAGTAAGCTGAGAGACTGCAGCTGACGTGAGCCACAAGCACAGTATATGTGGCCACGACCATGGGGTCCTCACTCCCTTGTTCCCACCTTCCATGCTCAGGCCATGTCCACAAAGGCTGGCCATGGGAGTGGGCCTGGGTCTCCCTGCTGCTCAGGGCCCAGCCAGAGCAGCCAAAGGTGCCCGTGCCAAGGGAAGAATGCTGGAAGATTCCTACTGCCTGAAGCACCAGTTAACCTGGGCCTAGAGAAGGGCCTGGGCAGTGCCAAAGCTCACCCAGCAATACCCTGGCACAAGCTGGCTTGCTGCGCTCAGCAGGCTGAGCCCACTACTAATCCCAGGTAGTGCTTCCTCAGGGCTTCTGCCCAGCCAAGCCTTCTTCTCCAAAATGCAGGGTTACCTTCTTCAAACGGCTTATCTCCACCTTCAGCTGAGCCACCTCCTCCAGCAGAAGCTGCAACTTTTGGGTCTGCTCTGTCAACAAGGTGTGCAAATTCCTGCAGGAACAGGAAAGCAGATGTTGTCAGAGAGCAGCCCATTCCCTCTGCAAGGAGCAGAGACACAGGGCTTTCTGGTTTGTGAATGCTTCCCTTGCTCCCCACGCTGAAAGAAAGGCAATGGCCAGAGGGAAGTACAGGAGCCGTGGCTGTTAGAAAAATGGGTGCAGGTAGCACGAGGTTGTCCTGGGTTCAGCCGTAGCAGGAATTTTTCTCCTTCTCAGTAGCTGGTGCAGCACTGTGGTTTTGACTTTCAGCCTGGGAACAGCGCTGATAACACCGCTGGTTTTAGTTGGTGCTCAGTAATGTTTACTCTGACCAAGGACATTCTGAGTCTCATGCTTTGCCAGGGAGGAGGGGAAGCCGGGAGGAAGCAGAGAGAGGACGCTGCACCCAAACTAGCCAAAGAGGTATTCCATACCACAGCACGTCATGCCCAGTATATAAACGGGGCAGTTACCCGGAAGGGCTAGATCACGGCTCTGGTCGGGCTGGGAACCATTAGCCGGTGGGGAGCGGTTGTATTCTCTTCCCTTGTTATTCCCTTTATCATTATTATTACTGGTGGTAGCAGCAGTGGTTTGTGCTACACCTTAGTTACTGGAGCGTTCTTGTCTCAACCCGCGGGAGTTACATTCTCTTGATTCTCCTCCCCATCCCTCGGGGAGCAGGGGGACAGAGAAGAGGGGGAGTGAGCGAGCGGCTGTGTGGTTCTGAGTTACGGGCTGGGCTTAAACCATGACAGGTTGGCTGATGCTGTTTGCATAGGTCCAATTCCAGCTCAGGAAACATCTCTTACCTCAGCATCTTTGTTTCTGCTGCGGCTGCCCGTGTCAGAGCCTGAAAGGGAAAAACTCTCTGTTAGAGTATCCACCACCAGAGCTGCTGGGGCTTCCCAGGAGAGGCTTCCCTAGGAAGCCCCGGCAAAAGCCACTGCTTCTTTGGCTCACTCTGTGTGGACACAGAAAAGCCCACGATTTAGCCAGCCACTGTCAGCAATGCTCCCTTGCAGGAGCTGCCTGTCCCAGAGGGTCCACCAACCTCTCTCTGTGCCTTTGCCTGCATTGTCCACGCTGGCAGTGAGGTCCCACAGTAAACACCAGCTGCAATTCACATCACCAAGAGACAGTCACTTGACCTGGGTTGCTAGTGGTCCCTGAAGCACCATGGTCTCCTCCTGGTTGCCTTGTGGATGGGGCAGCAGCTAAGCTGAGGAGGTGGGGAACACAGGGTGCAGAGACAGGACGTGCCTCTGACTGGAAACCATCACCACAGGCTTCAGGGCATTGTGTAGCCATGAGCTTCAGGTGTGCTCGGTGACCCAGAGCTCTTTCCCATTTCCCCTTACTGCTCCTGTGAGCCCTGAGACCAGGCTACATCAGCCAGGAGAGGTATCAGGAGGGGCATCAGTCACCCTGCACAGCCCCTCTGGGTATCCCCCAGTTCAGGCTTGGAAATACATGCTCCCTTCTCTCGCAGGCTTGCAGACTAAGCAAGCCCTTTGGTCCTGTGGCCAGTGCAGCAGCATGGCTGGGAGGCTACCAGTCTTACTGCTAGCTGAAAAGCAAGTCCTTGTCAAGGATGCACACCAGAAGCACTTGGACAATGCGAGTTTCCACACATATGGGCCAAAAAGAAAAGCTGGCACCCAGCACAACCAGGCTGTTACTCTCAAATGGTTGCTCACACAGACTCACCAAGAACCACTGGAAGCAAGAAGACAATGAATCTCAAGAACCTCTTCTTGTGCACGGCCATCTTTTGCCTGAAAAAGGAGGGTGTCCTATGTCTGTCAATGAGCCAGGTTTCGAGCAAACCAGCTGGATTACCACTTCCAGGCACGAAAGCCACTGTTTTGGAAGCCTGCTGCTGACAGACAGCTGCCAGGGAAGAGCCCAGGAGGGGCACTTTCTGTCCACACCTTTCAAAACTGCCAGCAGCTCTTCCCCCAAAGAAGAACTCCAGGACTCACTACTCCCCGAAAGTAAAGAGGTTGAGCAAATCAGGACTTCCGCCTCCGCACCCCTGCGTCTGGCTACACAGCAGGTTGTCCTACCATGACCAAAGTCTGGGCCTCTGGTGAATGTGTGGCAGGGAGACTGCCCAGTGGCTTTACTCTTGGCTCTCCCTGAGAACGGCCACAACATGAGCAGTGCTTGTGAGAGTGGGGAGCTGGCTGAGGAACACCCCTTGCTCTCCCCTTTGCTTGCACTGGCCCTCAGACATCTCCTTTCTCCCCGTGTCCAACACAGAAACACGGAGTACATACATACTCCTTTCCCCATCTCTGCTTGACAGCAAAGATGCAGCCTGCAGCGGAGGAACAGGAAGAAGCTGGCGGCGGCAGCAGCAGTCCCCATTGCTCGAAGCACAGCCGGCAGCACAGCCCAATTCTCACCCGCTCCCTCCCTGCACCCTGACCCCTGCAGCATGAGGCTACCGCCTCCCCAAAAGCCCAACAGCAGAAACAGGTAGTACGTACACAGTGAAGATGCACACGATCAGCAGGTATCTCCACAGGGATGCAAGGGTACCTGCCGCATGGCAAACAAGGCTGAAGACCGTCCCTGGGCAAAGAAACCAGGGAAAAGTTAGGCCTCTGTCTTGAGGTCTCTTCTCCAGGATGCTCAGCCAAGAGCGTTTTGGCTCCCTGCAGGGAGGCAAGCACCGAGGCCTAGGCACCACCTCTCTGGGGTGAAGAGCAGAGCAGCCTGCATTTCTCCAGCCACTTGTGACATTTTGCCAGACTTCTGGCACAGTGCAGCGCTCGGAGTTCACCCCAAGGACTTTGCAGCAAGAGCCAGTGCTGAGCTTACTTGCAAGTGCAGTGGCCTTGTCATGACGCTTTGGTGGCCCTGGAGAGGATGAGCTGGGAGTGGACTGAGGAAGGCGTTTCACCAGCTCCACCTCTGTGAAAAGGCTCCTGTGGGAGGAAAACAAAAAAGATGCCGATTGCTCTCAGTGCTTGCTGGGAGAGCAAGCCATGCTTTCAGCCACGGCCCACCAGAAAGGGGGTGGGCAATGCACAGGGCTCTTGCGCAGAAGCGTCTGTCAGCTTCCCCATGCTGATCCGTGACCTGCTGGCTGTATTAGGCCGTGTCCCAGCTACCGTCCTAAGCTGATGCCCCATGCATGAGCAGCCAACTTCGTACCTACTCGCCTGGCTGTGGCTCCGCCCTGCAGCATCTCGTGCTGACCGTTGGTCAGCTGTGGTCTCAAAGGAGACATTTAAGGTCTCTTGGTCTCTTTTCCACGGTGCCTTTCTCCTTGCCATCTCTGGGCAAAGGCAGCCTCCCTGCTCAGTTCTTCCTCCTAAGCCTCAGCAGTCTGGGCTCCTCAGGCAAAACCAGTTCCAGCAGCAGCTCCACGCCGCCCTTCCACGGGAGTGTCCCTGCCCCGGGCAACAGTCACGTGCAGCTGTGGGCTCTTTCCCTGCCCCACAACGCTGTATGGGTGCCCAGTTCTGCGTCAAGATTGGCGGCTCTGATGTCACAGTGGGGCTGAGCAGGGCTCCCTCTGGGCTCCCCTGGGGCAACATGGGGACTGGACCAGACTGGGGCCTGCAGGGTATGGGAAATGGGGTGGGCTGGAGCTGGGCACCGTGACCACCCCAGCACTTCCTGGCCCTAGGCAAATAAAGCTTATCAGCTACACACAGACAGGAGGGATGACAAGAACAAACATCTCTCCTGTTGCCATGGGAACTATGTTGTCCCTGCAATTAGCTCCAAGTGGCTGCCTGAGGACAAGCATCTGCTTCACGGTGTCCCTCCGGGTGGCCACATCCTGCTCGGGGACAGAGCTGGCCTGGCCAAGGATGAGGGCATTGAAGGGACATCCCTTGGGGACAAGGGCCTTGGGTGACCAGTGTCCGAGTGCCACCCAGGGAGCCAGAGCCTTGCTGGGGACAGAGTCATTGGGACCCACCATCTGGAGGCAGCTCTGCAGAGTGGGACTCCAGTGACCTGGGTGGGTATGGTGGCCCCAGGCAGTGGCAGGCTGGTGGTCAGGGCAGGGGATATTCTGCTCCGTTCTCTGCACTGGGGAGGCCATGGCTGTGGACTGCCCAAGACTGGGGACTACAGTGCATGGGAAATGGGGTGGGCTGGAGCTGGGCCTTCTGACCACCCCAGCACTCCTTCAAGCCGAACCCTCATCTCCCTGTGCCCAGCATTCACCAGTGCTCCCCATCGCCTCCTGTGACTGAAGATCCCAGTCACCCGGCAGTATCCCCACCTGCCAGTGCACCGCAGCTGTCCTCCCACCTCCCAGTGTTCCCTAATCCCGGGATCCTTCATGCCCCAGGAAGAGGGGTCATTCCCAGCCCCCTGGTTACCCAAGGGATGGAGAGGGGGCAGGGAGAGTCCTGCTCAGAGACCCCTGGTCTGAGGCTAGCAACATTCCTGGGGGAGTCCTGGGGGAAAACACAGTCCTGGGAGGCAGGCGGGGCTGGGAGATGGTAGTGCTGGGAGGTGAGGGGCACTGGGAGATAGGGGGATCTGGCTTTGGGGGCTGTTGGAAGGTGCTTTTGTGTTGGAGCAGTGGGCAGACACCATAGGACGCCTGGCTGGAGCGTCCCTCTGTCCTGGTTTAAACCCAGCTGGTAACTCAGCACCAGGCAGCCGCTCGCCCATCCCCTGGTGGGACGGTGGTGGGAATCGGAAGAATAGAAAACCTGTACGTGGAGATAAGAACAGTTTAATAATTGAAAGCAAGTAAAATACAGTGATAATATAAATAATACCAACAATAACAGAAATGATAATAATACTAGGAAGCAACAGAAAAAAAAAGAAATGAAAATCCAGAAAACACAAGTGTTGCCCAATACAATTGCTCAGCACCCGCTGACCAATACCCAGCCTGATCCAGCATCAAACGGTCCTTTCTGTCCAACTCCCCCAGTTTCTATACCGGTCATAACATGCTGTGGTCTGGAATACCTCTGTGGCTAGTTCAGGTCAGGTTCCTCCTGGCTTCTTGTGCCCCTCCTCACTGGCAGAGCATGAGAGACTGAAAAGTCCTTGATCAGGGTAAGTGCTACCCAGCAACAACTAAACCACTGGTGTGTTACCAGCATTGTTCTCAGACTAAAGCCAAAAGAGAGCACTGCACCAGCTACAGGGAAGAGAATGAACTCAGCCAAAACCAGGACTACTACCTGGGTAAGGTAAGGCAGTCTGCCCGCCCCTCCTCCTCTGCTTTGCAGCTACCAGCCCTTGAGCATCCCCACCTTCTGTTGGGGCTTCTGAGAACACACGACCACCTTAGCAGAGTGACCAGCCACAGCATAGCAGGCCTGCTCCCCTGCCTTGGCCCAGAGGGAGGCCAAGGAACACATCTTTGCCTTTCACTAGCTCAGCTATTCAATGCTGATGCGCGCTCACACATCACAAGCTGTTCAAAGGGCATAAGCAGACGGTGGATCAGACACTTCTCACACACTGGGGATCAGCTGTCAAAGCAGGGACATCCAGCAATGTCTGGCTGGAGCTAGGAGGGCTCTGGACTTGGAACCAGTTCCAGTGCCAGCTCAGTTCCAGCCATGAGCTTGCCCTGCCACATGGACAGGGCATGTCAGTCCAGTCTGTATCAGAGACTAGATCTTTCCTTTGGGAGGCCTTCTAAAAGCCCTTGAGGGATGTATTTTATCTGCCCCTTGGCTTTGTCTCTCTTGCCTTTACCTTCCTCACCAAAGAGGGGAGAAATGCCAGTCAGTAACAGCAGCAGACCATTAGCAATGTCCTGGTAACACGGGAGTTTTCCATCAAGCATGCCGCTGTGACAGGGGGACTTTAGCTAAAGGTGCCCAGGCATGCACACAGCAACACACAGCAAAAGGCAAATGCACATTCAGCAACTCGTTCTGCCAGGCAAACATTGTTCTTTATCTTCGACCTAAGTTAGTCTAAAAGTATTTTAACCCTGTGTTAAAGTGCTTTGTGGGTGATGCTGCTCCAATTTCCAGTCCCTCTGAGCACTTCTTCAGAGCATCCTTCTGAAAGACACTGAGGCAGCATTTACCTGCTAGGGAAGGATCCTGAGCATTGATGTTTTTTTACTCTTGGTGAGTAGGTTGGGCAGTGGGAGCAGAGTCGTGTGTAAATTGAACTTCTGTATCGGACATCCCTCCTGTCCTAACCTGTCACTGCCTTTTTCTCCGATGACAGCGCCCCATGCCCAGAGGCAGTAAATGTCCAACAGCAGCTCCATCACCCAGCTCCTCCTCCTGCCATTCTCAGACAAGCGGGAGCTGCAGCTCCGGAACTTCTGGCTCTTCCGGGGCATACTCCTGGCTGCGCTCCTGCGCAACGGCCTCAGCAGCAGCAGCACAGCCTGCGACCAGCACCTCCACACCCCCATGTACTTCTTCCTCCTCAGCCCCTCCCTCCTGGACCTGGGCTCCACCTCTACCATTGTCCCTAAATCCATGGCCAATTCCCTCCAGAACACCGGGGCCATCTTCTACCTGGGATGTGCTGCACAGGTTCTTCTGTTTGTCTTTTTTATTTCAGCAGAATTTTCTCTTCTCAATGTCATGTCCTATGGCCACTACGTGGCCATTTGCAAATCCCTGCACTACAGGACCCTTCAGGGCAGCAGAGCTTGTGTCCACATAGCAGCAGCTGCATGAGGCAGTGGGTTTCTCTGTGCAGGGCTGCAAACAGCTAATACATTTTCTTTACCTTTCTGCCAAGGCAATGCTGTGGAGCAGTGCTTCTGTGAATTTTCCCAGATCCTCAAGCTCTCCTGCTCAGAATCATATCTCAGAAAAGCTGGGCTTCTTGTGGTTGGTACCTCTATAACATGTGGGTGTTTTGTTTTCGCTGTGGGGTACTATGTGCAGACCTTCAGGGCCGTGCTGAGGATCCCCTCTGAGCAGGGATGCCACAAAGCCTTTTCCATGCGCCTCCCTCAGCTGGCCGTGGTCTCCCTCTTTGTCAGCACTGGCACATTTGCCTACCTGAAGCACCCCTCCAGCTCCTCCCCATCCCTAGATCTGGTGGTGTCGTGCTGTACTCGGTGGTGCCTCCAACAGTGAACCCCCTCCTCTTCAGCCTGAGGAACTAGGAGCTCAAGGATGTTCTGGGGATGCTGATGACTGGATGTGTTTCAGCAGCCATACACTGCCTGCTTTCCTCTGCAAAGGGCTCCAAGTGTAGGTCATGACAGGCCATGTCTGTCTTTCCTCCTTTACATTTGTTTTCCTTTTTCCACTTGTGATGTTGTCCTCTAAGACATGTCAATTTTCATCCCCTGCTACTTCAGTATCTGCCCATCTTGTGTGACCTGCAGACTTTGTGTCAGTGGGGGGCTCTCACTGTACTTAAGGGAAATAAATGATTCTGCAGCAACTTCTTCTCTGTGTGTTGTGGTTTAAGCCCAGTTGGTAACTCAGACCCATGCAGCTGCTAGCTCATTCCCCCCCCCCCCCCCCCCCCCCCCCCCCAGTTCTTCCCTTTTCCCCACTCCTGGAGCGATGGGGAGAACTGAAAAAATGTAAATCCCATCAGTTGAGGTAAGAACATTCCAATAACTAAAGTATAATATAACACTGCTACTACTACCACTAATAATAATAATGATAAGGGAAATAACAAGGGGAGATAATACAGAACTAAAAGGGGATAAGGAAAAAACCCAACAATAAACACAAGTGATGCACAATACAATTGCTCATCACCCACCCACTGACACCCAGCCTAGCTTAATTTCCTCCAAGGCAGCTATACCAAAAGCCCACCTGTACCCTT